CCTATATATAATCGATATATTTCTTTAAGCCAACTAAGCACCTATACAGCAGGTAAGTGTACCCAAGGCTCACAAGCTTTTTGAGGGAGACTGTTAATGTTTTGGTTAACATTGAGATATTTTACCTTTTGCATTAAAATTAGTATGGAAAATTATTGTCCAGGGCCGGGACTCTTGACCTGTCTTTGTGTTCCATGGTGTGCAATCTCCCACACTGCAATGGTTGATAAATCTGATTTTATCGGACTACAGTAATGTTTTTTGTGGTCTTAGGCTAATTGGGCAAGGATCCAAGGGAAACCAATTGGATTAAAATTCAGTCTATTGATGGGCCCTCAAGGTTTAAAAACCATGGACCGGAGAGAAGTAACCAGTACGATGAGGAATCAGGCTACAACAGTCTACAAGCATCTCTAGCCTGGGTGGCTGGGGTCATAGCCAAGAGAAACAGAAGGCAGAACCAGAGCAGAGCAGATGGGAGCTACCGAGAGGCTGAGTTAGGGCTAATATGAGGACACACTCTCTCACCATTAGAGCTCCCTGCACCCAGAGTGAAGAGACTGCAGACCCAAGAGTGGAGATCCCCACCACTGACCAAGGGCAACCTGAAGCTTGTTTTGGCAGCTCTGGGAGTCCGGAGCTGGATGGGAAGCTCCACTGTGGCCCTCTAGTATTTGGTCCCATTATTTGTAAAGGTATAATATTGCTTAGGTGAACTGTTTCTTTTAGTTAGTTTTAAACCATGCTCAAGTGTGGGCCCACTCAGTATCCACAGGTGCCCTTCAAATCAGACATTACATACATTTCAGCTTTCATGGCTAGGCTGCGTTCCCATCTCATCCTGGAGGGTCTTTGGAGAGGCCAGTTAAGCCTTGGTGATTTTAATTGGTGGGTGATATATGGAGGAGAGCTAGAACTGGAGCCACCTAAACGCTTAGATAAGTGGGTGTTAACAGGGGGCCTGCCTGAACCTCCACAGAGCTCTCCAACCTGGTGCAGCAAATGGGCAAAGGTGTGGAGGGGTCGGGGGAGGACTAATTCCCATCAGCCCTCAGGAGGCCTGGCAGGCCTGAGGAAGCCAGCGACGCTCCGCCCCTCCACCATGGGTCATGGTGGTCACCTCTGGCCATTGCAGCCACCTCTCTAATTCCAATATGCTTACAAATATTAGGATGGTTCACTTGTCTTGTGGGCGAAGTGAAGGTGTTGGAAAGCCCTAAGGGCTCTGCAAGCTGCTCTCTTGTAAAACAAGTGATTATAAGTGACAATGCCTTTACTGTACTATTCATAGATATAAGTCAACATCTGTGTATAACAGCACTGCAGGCCCTGTGTCTCATCAGAAGTGGGGCGGTTGATCCCATTGTTTTCTTGAGGTTGTTGAAGGGTCAAACAAGAGAGGGTAATGTAGAATCTTCTTGCCCACTGAAGCGGTAGATCCAAACAAGGAAGAACATCTAGGGGGGGAGGTGGGAGGGTGGATTAAAAAGGCCTTAGAGTAGTAGCATGAGCTATATATTGTTGGTGTTGACCACTGTTGACAGTGGCTTAGGTCAGATGAGGACAAGTCATTCCCCCATTATTGTCTTCCCCACTGCACCCACCACCCCCAAATATTCTCCTTCACTCAAATGTTTGTTGGCCCCTAGTCTCGTCCTGTGGGACGAGATGAGAGTCCGGTGCTAGAGAACCCAAAGGAGGAGCCCAGAAGCTGGATGGTTTGGTTTGGTTTTGGTGCTTGATGGGGGAAAGTCGGAGGAAGCGCCAAAGAAGCGGTGAGCCTTTAACTGAGACGTGAGGCCAGAAGAACTGGGCATCACGACCAGTCAGAGAAGGGAGAGGCCCCAAGGCCGGAGGGAGGGCTCTGGGGAGCCGGGCCGCAGCGCCTTCCGAGCCGGCGAAGTTTGGAATCCGCCGCCGAGCACGGCGCTGGGGAGGAGAGGCCACAGGGCCGCGCGGAGACGGGTGCCTCGCGCGCTCGAGCTCAGAGAGGCGCCCTGCATCGCGGGAACCGAGTCTCGGGCCGGGGCGCGCCGGGCAGAGGGCTGGACCCACGGCGGCGGGAGTCCCGGGCGCGCGCGGGGCGCAGGGGAGTGGCTCCGCGCATGCTCGGTTGGCGGGCCCTCCGCCTTGGCCGGGCTCGGGAGGC